CACAGACAGAATGTCCAGCCAGACAGACAGAATGTCCAGCCAGACAGACAGAATGTCCAGCCAGACAGACAGAATGTCCAGCCAGACAGACAGAATGTCCAGCCAGACAGACGGAATGTCCAGCCAGACAGAGAGAATGTCCAGCCAGACAGACGGAATGTCCAGCCAGACAGACAGAATGTCCAACCAGACAGAGAGAATGTCCAGCCAGACAGACAGAATGTCAAGCCAGACAGAATGTCCAGACAGACAGAATGTCCAGACAGACAGAATGTCCAGACAGAAAACATTACCTCCTTGGCAGAGGTAATAATAAGGTCATTCCAAAGTGCTACTTGTTGGCTTTCAGAAACACTCGAAATGAAGAGAAAACATTGTGGAAGTCAGTGAATGTTACTTCTATTGACCAAGCACAGGGAAAAAAGTATGGAATCACTCAAATTTGAGGTAGAAAATAAGAACACACCCAGTCAATTTCCTTTCCATAAATGGACACCTGTCTCAGATTAGATCTGCTGGTTAGTCTGCAGTTAAAAACACCTGGAGGTGGAGGTGGAGTGGCAAGAACCATGGCTCAAACAAGAGAAATGTCTCTTGAAACAAAAGAGAGGATTGTGAAACTTCTTGAAGGTAACTCTTCATGCATGGTTGCTAAAGATGTGGGCTGTTCACAGTCAGCTGTATCCAAGATATGGACCAAATACAAACAGCATGCTCTAATCGCGCTTGAGGCGCCGCAGCACTTCCCGACACTGATTGAAGCGTGTCCACCATAGACTTTGCATGTAAACCTGATGCTCCTGATGCTGAAATCGCGTTGGGTGTGAATGCACCATAAGAACATAGACACAGTGTATAGTGTTATGACTGTGCTATGCCGTGTACTTGTGTGTGGTGTTRGYGGGTGGTAAGAGTTWTCGTGCATTTATCGTTATTGAGGTGAATTGGTCAATATATTGTGATATTGATTTTAGGCCATATCGCCCAGCCCTATCCACAAGAAGACTCCGACCTGCAAAGCTGATCTGGCAACTGCTATCAAAGAGATTTGGCACCAAATTGATGAAGAATACTGTTTGTCACTCATCAAGTCCATGCCTCAGAGACTGCAAGCCATTATAAAAGCCAAAGGTGGTGCAACTAAATACTAGGGATGTATTTTGAATGGTCTTTTGTTTATCTGTTTTTCATGATTCCATACTTTTTTCCTCAGAATTGAGTGATTCCATATTTTTTCCCTGTGCTTGGTCAGTAAAAGTAACATTCACTGACTTCCACAATGTTTTCTCTTCATGTCTGAGTGTTCCTGAGAGCCAACAAGTTGCACTTTGGAACGACCTTATTATTGTATCATGTTTTTGATCTGAGTTTGTTTTACAGAATGAAATGTCTGAGTGCTCATCCAAGACTGGTGATTCCATACTTTTTGCGAGGGGTTGTATAACCAAGCGATAAAAGTGCTAATAAGCCACTGAGATACCATCACTGTCACGTATTAGGAAAATACAAAATGCTAATGCTAAATTTTAATAATTTRATCTTGTATTACAATGTGCRGCTTATTTTTAAAATTGTGAATAACACTGCTTCTCCATCGCTAAAAAACTTTGTCCAACTCTGCTCTGAGCTGACAACTAAGAACAAGAGCTCAGTAAACAGTAAGTGTTTACAGTAAGGATTGTAGAAAACCCAAACGTAGCTCAGCATTTGCACATGCAGCCTTTTCATTTAAAAGGCATTACAGAATGGAATAAACTTCCAGTAAATCTGAAASTTTCCACTGACCTGAATGACTTTACTCATAATATTAGGAAAGTGTCCTAAATTGCATTAGTCATTACAGAACAAATGTTTGGTATTGAGGACCATTTTTATTGTTCTATTTTATGACTTTGTATAGTGGTTGTATTTAGGACATGTATGAACTATTACTGTATGACTGCTTGATTTTAGATTTGTAACTTTGTTGTTCAGGGACTACAAATGGAAAATAGCTTAAACTAAATCTGGTGCAAAGCATCTTTTATCAATGTTTTATTTGCACATTGTCCCCGTTTAAATAAAATTTATTAAAAAAAATCTGCTTTCTGTGCAACAGAGACATTCGGAAGGCAACACAAGCCTACTGAAGAATGAATGAATTAATTAAATTTGTGGTTTTTACACATTCACATTTTTTGAACAAAAGCATCATCGAGTTCAATTTAAAACCCAATCAAAACACTAGTCAATGTAAACATTGAGAAACTRGAATCTGTTTTTTGAGCAGGTAGATAAAATCCCTTTGTGCAAAGGCAAATATTGAGTAGCAAAATCTCCTAATTTGCCTTTTGCAAATCACTGACAATCAAAGTGTTTACCGGTACATTTAAAGAAACAAGATCAYGAAAACTCAAATGAAATGACACCATTTTCTTTGGTAATCTAATCCTCCTTCAGTCCCAACAMATCATAGTTCACCTCTGATTTGAAATATTTTATTTCCATCTTCTCATAAATGTGGAATCTAGGTCAATTGTAATAGTGAAGGACATGCATACCCCTTAGAGACAAATGACCTTTTATTTCTGACTTTTCTCAAACATGGTCAAAGTGAGTGTCAGACTGTATCCTTGTCACTGACTTAGTTTCTGTGTTGGAACCTTTTCAAAATGTACACTCTTGTATTTTGTATTATTTTGGGGTTAGTTTCACTCCAGCATTCAATTCACACTGCTATAATTTTACACTTTAGCCCAAAATGTTGTGATCTGCAATTTATTTATTTTAAAGTACCTGTGACATTAAATTTTTGTGATAAATATAAATGCATTTATGGGAAGGTAAAATTGATCAAATATAGCAAGAAAAAAAATGTCATACACAGTTAAGATATTTGCAAGTGAAGTAACAGGAAGTGATGTCAAAAGGGAATTTCAGCATGTAAACAGAGYATTGCTACAATGGCTGACAACACAGACTGAAGAGAATTTCTTTAGATTATTTTGAGTCACTATCAGAGAACGATGGACAGTCAGCGTTCAAAWAATGTTGTTAAACTAGGGAGCTTTATTTCTTGAAGCGTTCCCCTTTGATGTCACTTCCTGTTTCACTTTAGCTGAGCCAAATTCAAATGAAAATATGCCAATTATGGTATGTGACAAAATRGGAAACGTGTAATATGCCAAGTTTCTTAAATATAAAGATTTTTTTTAATTTTTGTATTTGAATATATGCATGACAMAGGCACTTTAAATTAAAGTAATTTCTGATAAGGAATTTAGCATGAATGTTCTTTAAAGTGCTGGTAATAGAATATCTTATAGCATCTAAAAAAAATGAGTGTCCTTATTGTTTTACCATTTTCTGCTACAGTTAAATAATAAATTGCCAAACTCTGCTGACAATACAGATGAATACAAATGTATTGTGTGTACTATATAAAGTAAAACAGTCCTTACATAGTGTGATGAAGGTCATGATGAAGATCTGCGTGCCCTGTCCAAGGAACACAGAGAGAAGCATTCCCTTCCTGGGGGGACGGAAGACATCTCCATGCACTTGTTTCCATCCTGACTCTTCCTGAGCATCCTCCTGGGAGAGAGAAGCAGAGTGGAGAGTTAACACAATGCCCATCATCTGAACACAGTATGAATGAAAGGTTCACCAATCACCATTCAGTAACTGCTGCTTTAAAAACTRACACCTGGTAGTAAAGCACAATTAGGACAAGAATCATTTCACCAAAACAAAACAAAAAAAAAGTAAAAGTTGGTATGGACAAATGGGTCAATTCTCAACAACGTGTCCTTTTTAGGATATTTAAAATTTACTGGAAGTTTCAACTCAGAGAAAAATGCCCACACCACATTTTACAGTTTCTTCACATACACCTTGTTGCTAAAAATCATACACACCCAAGCACCTGATTTATTTGAAACAAAACRTTATCTCTGAAATAACTGTCATTACGCTTACATAAGGTAGAGAAGATTTTTCCTTGGCCGATGGAATCTTTATCAAGTTTTCCTGTAAAATGTAACAAAATATGGATAATTTTGGTGTACTGTGCTGGGTGGTATTTAAAGTTGCAGATTTAAAACATTAGCCACATAACCATACTTAAATAAACCAGGAAACTCAAACTAAAAAGGTGAAAAACTTCAATTATTCCCTTGTATTGTATGCTTAAAATGTTACAAATCTACTGCAGGTCTGTAAAAAAACTGTTACGGTTGAGCATTAGGGCTGTTTTCATCATCCTAAAATGTTTTTAATAAAGGTACATATTTGCATCAGAGTTAAAGCAAACAGTGTTGTAATCCCTTATAACAGTTGACACACAATTTCATACAAGTGCAGCAGAAGCAGGACCTCTGTTCACATTTCCAACCATTTATAGGGACRAAATTTTACAAACACATGCACCAGTTAGATTTAGAAATGCAACAATATATAGGATTACAGGAAGATGAAAACTAAATGTCTGAAAATGTAGCTGTAATATCTATGTTTTAAATTCTTAGTTTTGCATTGTGCCAAGAGAAGAAAAAGTCATTCTTGAGGCCTGAATTTAATAGAAGTACTTTATGTTTCCTAGTTTGTCACATTTCCATTTGAGACATTGAAAATAACAGTTTTTTCCAGTTTACCTACAGAAAGTTTGTATATTTAGTGGCAAAAAGACAAAATACATCTAGCAAAAAGACAACTCTGCTCTCCACACAACTATATAGCTGTTGGTTTAGATATTGTTGCAATGACTCATTCTATTGCAATTTGCAAATAATTTTGTGCACCAAATAAAGTTAAAATAGTTTGTTTTCAGTAAATCTAATACAGTTACTTAAATTAATGCTGGCGTTCTTTTATAGCCGCATAAGAATCAGAGTGTTAAATGATGCWTTTACCTGATCCACCTGGTTGTATCTGGCAATGTCCTTGTGGAGAGTTCTCAGCATTATCATGGCAACCATCCCGGACAAGAAGAGCACAATTACCAAAGAATTCATTATGCTGGAAAAACACAAAACCAACTTTAGCTTTAATAAACCAACACGAGTGTTTTAGAGAAGAAAATTCTCTGGTGAAAAAGTGAATATTTTCAGACCTAAACCACTGGATGTTGGTGTGAGGCATTGAGACCAGGATATAGTCCCACCTAGARGCCCACTTGATGGTATTGTTTTCCTGGGAGGAAGAAGAAATAAATAAATAAATCATGCAAAAGAAATACAAATAACTATTTTCTTTCCTATTGCTCATGAATATATAAAACAACCACATGTTGATTACATATGGCAGCACATGTAGGATTAAATAAGCTTATATTGATCTCATTTTCAGATAAAAGACTGCATGTTTATTTACTCAGTTACTAATTTGTGCGCAATATTTTTTGTTTCATTATTATTTTTTTATTTTATCATTATTATTTTATCATCATCTTTAGTTTCTACTTTCGAGCCTGTCTGTGTGCGTTTTTTTTTCTCCTTAAATACTTTGTGTTATAAGGCTGTTAAAACCTATTTGAAATAAAATAAATGAATTACACATAATTTGGAGGTTTACCTCAAAAGTGACAGAGTAGGTGTAAGTTATTTTAACATCATCAGTAAAATCCACTGGGACCTCCATCGGGCTACCTCCATCACAAGTTGGTTTCTTCTCATCGTTATGTTTGATGCTGTTGTGGACAAACTCCATTATTTTCACATCATATTCATATTATTAGACTGTAAAGTACACCTAACCAACTAAAATTTACCTCTTTGGTTCGAGGGTGGCAGCAACCAGGCGAGCACCACTCCAACCCTCTGATTTTCCACTGTGGTAAGTGATCTTTATGTCAACATGGTTGAAGACATAAAATGTGTTTTTCTTGTTGAACTCAGACTGAAAAAGACAAATAAGAATTAATGCACGTCTTTGAGATTCCCATTTATTAGAAATACTGAATTTGTACTACACTGCGTTTTAAAGTTAAATATAAAATAACTTATAATAACCATATGTTACACCAGCCTGTTTCTCTGTTTTCTGTTCAAACAACACGTTTGCCTCCAGGTAGAATTTCCTTCAAACAATATTCTGCTTCCTTGTTAGAACCCTCAGACCATTACACAAAGGGACAGCATATTATTGGGACATTTTTAAAGAGATTTCCATAGCTCCAAGGTACAGTATTCAAGTTGATCTCCAGGCCGATTTTGTACAGGAGTAACTAATGTCAATTAACAACCTTTCAACACTAGTAAAAATGSTAACAAAAATATTTGTTGTACAATTTTTATCAAGATGACCAGTCAACAAAACTTGTCATTAAAAAACAATGATTTGATTTCCAGTGGTGATTGGTATGATTCACCACTGCTTAAAAAGAGCTAATTAAAAAGAATTACCAAAACTAGACTTCTTTAGGTAATGCTGCCAATAAAACAGGACACTTGGTAACCTGAGATAAACTAAACCAAGATTCAAAGACTACAACAAAATACAAGTTAATCTGATAACAAAAGCTGAATCAATGTTTAGAAAGTGTTAAAAAAAAAAACAGGACTAAAATACACCCATTCATCCTTTATCCTGTGCTGCGAGASTGTATTGTCACTCTACTCCTCAGGTATTACTAGCTGTTCAAGAAGAACAAGTCAGCTCATTACAATAAACTGTAGCCTTTCAAACGTGTCAAGGAACTATTTTAACTATAAAAACAGGCCCTGCTGACCAACGGTGTATTTGACACTGGAAACAAACATTTTCAGGATAAAAAAACACTTAAAGGAGAAATAAAATTTCAATAAACAACTCACATTTATWACACAAGCATCTTTTGCTCTACCATCAGATGCAACAAGGCAGCCRATGGGAAAACCAGGGTTGCAGTACTTTTGATTATCTTCAACATCATAGCACCACGTCACTGGCATGTTGTCGATGATCCTAAAAAAATGTGTGTCTGATTAGACTCAGCATATTCTTTTATAACCAAAATTAGCTTTTTTGTATTACTTTTTTTTTTTAACTTAATACAGTCTAAAGCTGTAAACATACTCCCTGCAAACTGCCGACGTCGGCACGGGTTGTCGCAGTTTAATGACAAAAATTACGTCACCGGGCTTCGCAGCGTTGTGTCGACAGCCCCTTTTGGCACAAGCCCCGAGCAGAACTTTTTGACCCCCCTCCCCTGTCGACAGTAATGTGTGATTGGTCTGAACTGAAAGCGCTCGGACAGACACAGCAGAAGAAAAAAACAAAAACTCGCTTCTGACTAGAGCAGACTGTTTTGAGCAGTTTTAAAGTTAGACAAACCGAGAAAAACTCATGCGTTTGTGCTGACAGTGTTAGGTGCTGCATTTACTTCAACCACTCGGTAAAAAAAAAAAGAGAGAGAAAAAAAAACTGACTCGCTCCCCGAGCCAACCAGGAAGCAGAGTTTATAAAGATAGTCAAACCGTGAAAAACTCATGAATGGAGATAAACAGACATAACAGATAAACAGGCACAGAGGAATCTGAAACTGTGGAGCTTTTTAACCAGGACAGATGTGGATAAATATGTCAGGTGAGTGAAAAATCTGACTTTTTTTCTGCATTATCGGCTATTGCGGGGGAACTCCATGCAGTGACGTATGTTTCAGGGAGGGGGGGTTTCCCGAAATCGGCGYGGGGTGTCGTAGGGACTAGGGTCTGTGTGAAAACGACTGCTGAACAACCACGTGACGCTCGTCGACTTGTCGGCGTCGGAGCGAGTATGTTCCCACCTTAAGTTTTACCCAATCAGAACAGAGCAGGTCATGCTGTCTGCGCGCTGACTTTTTTCCCCTTTCTCTGTGGGGTGGGGTGGGGTCAGTTTCACTCAGCTCAGGTGAACACCTCCCGGGAAAGCCCTCAGCGTTTCCTGGACTATTTTTCATCGAGGATTACATCGTATTATATATACATTATATTTCTACAAGCACCTTACAACATTTCCCCTGTAACGCTGTGTTCATGAGCACAACTAAACTGCAACAGATCACCTGACCAACTCGGGATTTAAGAATTCATACGTGTCATCCCCTTCAGACGTTGACCTGTATAATTCGCATCAAATATCTGTAATTTGCGCAAAAAAAATCTGTATTAATCAAACCCGGGTGGAGTGGAGGTGCAAGCGGACCGCAGCCGCATAGGGTGGGGAGGTGGGGGCGCCTTTTAAAGACGTGTTTACGTTTGACTTTTATTTTATTCTAAAATCACAGAGTTCTGAGTCAGCTTCAGGTGCTTAATTTATCATAAATATCTTCTAAATTTAACCAGGTGTTTCAATGCCTTTACATTACACAACAATTATAGTGGAGAAACTTGTCAGCTTGGTTAAAAAAAAATCAGTAAAATAAATATATATTTCTGTACAGAGAACTTTCTCTGCTATAATTTTTCAAATAAATATATCAAAGCTCCTCAGTTGAAAACATTAAAATGATAGAAAATATGTTTAAAAACCTCTTTCCTCAGAAAGTCTTCAGTCCTAAGAGCACTAAACTGTAACTTTTAAAAAGGTCATGTACACAGTATACTCCTATTTAAATGAAAATATTTGACCTGCAGCAGAAAGCTTACAGATGTTGGATGTTAATTTTTGCTCTCTATTTCAAAGAGGATGAGGCGAAGGAAGTTTTACTCAAGCAGCTCCAAAAACTGTCAACCTGCTGACTGAGAACAAACTTTGTATACAAAAAGTATACTTATTAAATTACATTTTTACTAAGATTTTTTGGACAACCAAAATGTTTTGCGGACAACCAGATTTTGTCAACCCCACCCCCACCTGAGAGGTCAGCACCACAGTTTAAAAAAATCCTAGGGGAAACCCTGAGAAATCTAACTGGAAAGAATCAGATTGCAGTGAACACATCTACAAACCAGTGATGTTGATAGTTCAGCTGCATTCCCATCTTCAGAAAGTCCAACTTGGCAGCATCCAGCTTGCTGTCTTTCTTGTAAGTTTTTGTGCACACTGCATGACACTTATCATCATTTTGAAAATGGAACTGTAAAGAAAGTGAATGATTGGAGAATTAAACAAACTTGAATGGAAGAAAACATGGAACAGGTCTTTATTCCACATTAGCTAACAGACAATTTACCTTGTATGGAGAAGACTCAATTCGCTCACCGAACAGTACCTGCCCCAGGTTCTCAGAGGGCCTCTTCTCTTTCTCATCTTTGCAAAAGTCAAACCTTCAACAAAAATACATTTTCTCATGCATGTAAATAAAAATAAACCCGAATGTGCCTATTCCAGTCAAATGTTATTAAAAAGGAGACAAATATATAACTTACACGTCATACTCGTACGGCAGAACAGACTCCACMGAGTCCAACCGATTAACAAACAGCTGAATGTCAGTCTGTAAACAAGATGAACATTCAAAGTTTATTAAAATGTCTTACGACCTGGATGGGACAATTACAACCAACTTCAATTTGAGTGAGAAGAACCTGAACAGTCATTTCGCATTTTATCAACAAACAAAAAGGACCAAAAACTTGATATAATCACTATCAGAGGATTGATGATCAACTGCCATGGAGATCATCATCAACAGAGAGTCAACTCTGTCAGCTAAGCATACGTCGTCAATTGTCAATAAGACTTGACGTATTGAATCTTAAAGCAGGTCTTTAAGACTTAAAACAAAACACGGTAAATCATTTAACTATACAGAGTTACTCGTAACAACGACGAGGACAMACAACTGTTTTCAGCGTCTTGATTAGAATATCTGCCCCGGTTCAAGGTAATTTGCCTTGAATAGCGCTGAGGCCTAGGGGCGACAAGCTAGCAACTATAGCAATACGGTRAAAAATACAACTATTAGTTCAAAGTTTCCTTAAAATAAATTTCCTACGACTGTTCCTAATTGYGACTGTTTCGACTTAAAACATACCTGGCAATCGTCCGGACCTTTCTCAACACAAAAACTCACAGGGGCTAAACCCGGAAGATAAAAAGCCGAGCTCGAACAGAAATAAACGACCAGCACAAAACCAACTGATATACGCCTCTTCATGTTAGTCCGGAGATTGTGTGGCCTCCTAAAAGGTAAAATCTTCCTTCTTCTAGTGGAAACAGTTGTATTCCAGCTTTGTGGAGATAGCTAAACGTCGTCTTTCTACTCTTTATAAAGCCACAGAYTTCGCTGCCTGCCTGGTGGGTAGCATCGGTGACGTACACCTCAGTCAAGTTATGCGGAAGTCACAGGGTTTGTAACGGAAAACAAACTATTCCTTTCAAAATAAAAGCTAGCAACCAGTATTATAATGTGCATTTCAAATTGTTTTGCTTTTTGCTTGTATGAATGGGGTCGCAGTGTGTTTTGTACGCTAATATTTATAAATTTGCATCGTGAGAACTATTAAGAATCTAAGATTGTATCTTCAGATTGCCTATGCACATAGCAAGTAGTTTTATTTTGACAGGTAATTAATCAGGAGTCGTTTTTTGACACCGTGGAACTAACGTGGCTGCAAGTGTTACACCTTCCTGCATTTAGGAGAAAACAGTTTCTGAAAATAATACCCTGAATTTACTATGAATTACAGATGACGTAAACGACAACACGACTATTATCGGTGGAAGTCCTATTCTAAATGACGCGTTTTTCAATTTACTCTAGTAGCAAAATCTTGAAGTGCTTACCTACATCTTGTCTGGAAATTACATTTCCTATAAAGTCAAAGTGAAAAGCCATGAGTTTTTTTTAAACTGCACATGTTTCATTAATGAAAATAGGGAAATGTTAAAAAAATCTGCAGGAATAAAACCTTCAACATTTTAAAATTCACGAGGTTTCCAACTGATTGTGAGACTGAAGGTCTTAAGATATGTATGTAACAAGCAGATACTTTGAAAAGACCCCACCCCACACACACACACACACACACCAAATCTGCTGTGCAAAAAGCCACAATAACGGACTCACCACAGAAGCTATAAATTAGCTATAAATTAAATTATGACAAAAGGTGGAAAGAAATTCCGACCAACAGATGGCGGTAAAGTGTTTTCCTGCTTGTACAGCAAGTTCCACCGGAAAAAGAAAAACACGAAGAAGAACAAGCAGCTTGTAGAAGCTACTAAAAAAAAAAAAAAATTCGGATAACGACGTGGGGCGGTCTGGTTGGTAATGGTGGTTAGCTTAGCTACTCGCATGCATGAATGCACGATTGACCCAAGTGGAAGTAGCGTTATTTTATACGTTTTAAAAATAGCGGGTTAGTTCTTGTTCAGGATTGTCTTCTACAATTAGCTGGAGCCGTTTGCTATTGTTAAATCGTTTCGCTAAAACATTGATTGGCGCGAAAATTCGCCATTTTACGCATTCAACACTTAAAGACTTTTTCCTGGAGTAAGGTATATAAAAGGATAACATATAAATTATAATAGTTACTCGTTTGTTTTATCCAGTGTTCAGTCTTTCATCTGAATTTTACCTCCTTTTCGCAGGCGGACCGTGTTGTAKACAATGGCCGAAGCAGACCGACCAGGGAAGCTTTTTATCGGCGGTTTGAACATTGAGACCACCGAGAAGGCCTTGGAGCAATACTTCAACAAATACGGCAGGATTGTTGAAGGTGAGMATGGTATTTTTACACCACACTTTGACGTCTACGCGTCTAAAACGTGCTAAGTTTGTACCTCCGCATGGCTCCAAAAAAGGAAATAAAAGCATGATATCTCACAGCTCTCGTATTTCGTCTAATAGTATGGTTTGTAGCTTTTTGTCTACTTTTGTTCATTATCGTTGTTAAGAATTATTAACAGGTTATTTAATATAAACTTCAAGTTTGCACAGACTTAAACAACTCATCTGTTTTATAATTGCTTTTAAAATTTTATGCCCTAAATGGATTATTTGTTTATTTATTTATTGTTACCAAAAAAATCTAGTCTTTCATCTGTTTGTTAAACTGGTGCATTTAAAGTGAAACTACACCAGTTTTTGTTAAAGGAAGTGATCCAATTTTTGTTTGTTTTTGCTAAGTGTATTTATTTGTTTGAAAAACAAGTGTGCACCCTGTTTACAGCTATTTCCATATTTCAGTTCTTCTGATGAAGGATCGTGACACAAATAAATCAAGAGGCTTTGCATTTGTTACCTTTGAAAATCCTGCTGATGCAAAAGATGCAGCACGTGAAATGAATGGAAAGGTAACCCCTTTTTTTYCCTCCTCATTCTTCATTTTTGAAGCATTATCAAACAAATCACCATAACAATGTAACTTTTTAATCAGTCTCTTGATGGCAAGTCTATCAAAGTGGAGCAAGCCACAAAACCTCAGTTTGAAAGTTCTGGCAGGCGAGGCCCTCCAATGCACTCCCGCAGTCGTGGTCCGCCCAGAGGACCCCGTGGTTCTAGAGGAGGCATGAGGGGTCCCCCATCCAGAGGTAAGTGTTTCAACTATATCAGTTGATTAAAAACTTTAAAGAATATCATGCATATTATGCATATACATTTACTCCGTATCTTTTTGTAATAGTATATGTAAAATCAACAAGCCCATAAATTGCATTGTCTGTCTGTCAAGACTACTATGATTCAGGATCTGAGGAACCCTTCTATAAAGGGATGTCATCCAGAGGTCCCCCACCACTGAAACGTGGTCCCCCAGTTCGTAATGGAGGTCCCCCACTAAAGAGACCGGCCCCATCTGGTCCTATGAGTAGACGTAAGTATTGTTCACTGTAATATGTTTTTTCATTTTCTGTGTGGTAGTGGTGGTGGTTGTAGCTTCAAAATTTGATGGAACGACTTGTCTTTGACTTTTTAGTACCTAACCTAATTTATTACTTATTCTAGCACCAATGTCAAGAGACAGAGATCCATATGGTCCACCCCCACCTCGCAGAGACTCGATGTCCAGGAGGGATGATTACTCATCACCAAGAGATGACCATTACAACCCTAGAGACAAGTATGAAATACCTTTGTTTTTTGTAGATCTTTATATACAGTATTTATTCAAGTATAATACGAAAAATTAAATCCATAAAATCATCCATAAAGTTGAGGGGTAGTACTATACTCGGATAAATATTTTTGCTTATGTATTTTAACTGAAATGTCAGCCTCATTCACAAAATGCTTGAGTCCGGAAATGAGACCACATCGTAAAAGGGTTGAAGCGAGCTTACCTCTGACACTCCTTCGTGCCTCTGAGCGAGATAGTAACAGATCCAAGCAGGCAACATGATGAGAAAAAAAGAAAAAAAAGGTAGTCCTGCAGCTTAGTAATGATAACGAACTAATAGTGTGCGACCGGGCCGCTCCTGGAACAACAACAAACACATGGTCAGCTTAATGGGTGCTGTCTACCGGTGTTCTGTAAAAGTTAGTCTACCTGAAAAAAGTTTCCCCACCAGAGGGGGCGCTGGCGAGACACAAGGAATGAGATTGCTGGGTGGGATTCTGATGCCTTTATTACAGAGGTAGCCAGGCCCTTGCCTTCCTACGCAGTTCCGCTCAATTCTAGTTTCCCTTCACTGCTCCGTCTGGGATTTCTCCCATAGACAAGGATTTCACTGGCAGATTTTTAGCAGAACCAATCAGAGAACAGAACATCGATTTTCTGTGCAGTGTCTGCTTGTATTTTACCTGAGCCAATCAGCAACTAGAAGGTGGAGTTTTGAACAACGTCGATTTTCTGCGCAGTGTCGGCTAGTTAGTTTAGCAATGGCAGTGGAGGAAGTGAATGAAGCCACTCCGTGTTAATAAGGCTTCAAAATTAAATTAAATTTGTCTGACAAAGCAGCATCTCTCATTAATAGTCGTCTTGTTCAGCTCGGTACTTTTCTCCTCTCAGTAGGGTTGTTTAGAGCAGTGGTTCCCAAACGTTTCAGCTTTTGACCCACAAAATAACAGTAGCAGAGACCTGTGCTTACAACTATTTTTGGATGATAAACATTTCTATCAGGTCAACTAAACATGGGCATAGTAACAATATTTTTATACTACATTTATCCATTTTAAATATACTAACCTCACTCATTTGTAACAACTAAGGCAAAAATGTAACTAATTCAGAAAATCTTTTCAGGACCCCACCTTGAGGTTTTGGGAAACACTGGTTTAGAGCACACGCGATTTCTGGTTAGCTTCTTAGCTTAGCCTCCAGCGACATACACACACACTTCAGCAGAGGCCACGCCTCCAGCAAGAATCGCTTCTCTGTAGCAGCGAGTCCAGACCCTTGTACGAAGCAAAGTGAAGGACAGGGTCTGGTTTTTACCAGGCTATTACAGACGAGGATTACCAGAAACATTTAATGATACAGGTGGTGAGCCTGATTTTGAAGGCTTTTGATTCAGTTTCACTCACACTTTTTAGAGCCACATAGCTCTGTCTGTTATATCACACCAGTTAACAAATGAGCATTGCTAAATTTCACATTGATAGGTTTTGTTGTATTTACTGTTATACATTTATTGTTGTGAACCTTTTAGTACATATGTTGTTAAAATAAAATTTAAAAACTGATACAACAGTCAAATGATCATTTTACTGATATGTATAAAGGCTAAAAAATTCTGAAATCCAAATGAAATTGAGTTATTATGAGAATTTATTTTTTTATGCTTTTTAGGCTAAAAATGGGGTGTGGGGAAATATTACAAATGAGATCGTATAATACACGAATAAATACGGTACATACAATCAACACAAACGTGGATAAAGAGCCAAATTAAAATCAATTGCAATTACCAAACTTAAAAAATCTTTGCCAACTTTTTAGACATTGCTTTAAGAAATATTGCACTTTACCCAATAAATGAGGATAAAGAAACTTAATTGACATTTAAGCATTTGGAAAACGTGCACTCATTAGATAATTTAGAAATGGTCTCCTTTCATTCTGAAATAGGCCACGTTTTATTTACAACTTTTATTTGTCTAAAGGTAAACACAACTACATTTTTAAATTTTTAGGCAAAAATTAATCAAACAGAACTTGCTTTTATTAATTTCAATTCAGTTGCTCAACCAACTAAAACTTTTTTTTATTATCAACATATGATCAGAGCAGCTCACTGTGCAATGTGTTTCAGCTATTCAAGTCGGGATTACAATTCCAGAGATTCAAGGGACTACGGACCTCCCCCCAGAGACTACTCATACAGAGACTATTCCAATTCCAGCTCCCGTGATGACTATGGCTCAATGCCAAGAGGATACAGGTATGGGTGTAAATAGCTACACTGGTTTAGTGACTGACCCAAAAAATATCTGATCATCAATTACAACTGCATGTGTTTATAGTGACCGCGATAGTTATGGAAGTGGTCGAGAACCCAGAGGCTATATGGATCGTCCAAGTGGTGGCTCCTACCGAGATTCATACGATGGTTATGGTAAGATACACCTCTTTTAGAGTAATGACTAATTATCAGAAACACAACAAAGAGCCACACAAATGACAAACCAAATCATGGCACTCGCCTCCACTTTGTCCAGTCACAGGAAACTCCAGTGTTTTGCCTCCTTAGAGGAAAAAAAAAACATTCTTTCCCTGATCAACAGTCCAGCCTTCATAGTTTTACTCTATTTGGAATGTTAAACCATTGGCATCTCATCTGCAAACAAAACAAAATCCAATCATTGAGTCAGTCGATTACATATCCACTTGTTATTTCAATCAATAAAATACCTGGGAATGTGATTCAAAAGTAACAGCAAATAGCTTGTGGTCCGCCAAAAGTATGTCGCCAAATGGAATCCCCAAATCTTTGGAAGTATCTGTTATCCAGTATGAGTTGCCTAACTAAGCAGTCCCTCAAGGAGTAACCCTCAAAAAAGTAATCAAGACAAGTCTGAAAACCTCATCTTTCCCAACACTTGGAGCCATAAAAAGGAAAATGGTTACTCAAATAAATGGCATGCAGAAAACAGTGGTAAATACTTAATTATTTTCAGTATCAACAAAAATATTCATGTTAAATTTAAGTCTTGAATTGGTGAAATATTTAAAAGTAATCTCATGAAAATTTTCAGTAAATTCTATTGGCAAAACATGAGCACTTGACAGTGCAATAAAATGTGTAAATTGAATCTTTCCAATTACCTGAACCATTGACCCTGCAGGTAACTCACGCAGCGCCCCTCCTTCACGAGGCCCCCCACCATCCTATGGTGGAGGTGGTGGAAGCAGTCGTTATGATGACTATGGCAGCAGCTCCCGGGATGGCTATGGCAGTCGTGACAGTTACCCCAGCAGTCGGAGTGACCCATATCCACCTAGCCGTGGTGAGCGAATGGGCAGGCAGGAAAGGGGCCCAGCTCCCCCTGTTGAGAGAGGCTACCCTCCTCGTGACTCGTACGGCTCAAGTCGTGGAGGGCCACGCGGTGGCCGTGGTGGCAATCGAGCTGATAGGGGAATGGCTCGCAACAGATACTGAAATGGACTTGGAAGTCACATAAAGCCAACATAGGTGTTCGTGCACCCTTAACATGTTAAGGAAAAATCTGTCAACAAGATAAAGTAGGCATGTCTAACTCTGTGGAGTAGGAAGCTTAGCTTTGTATCTTGACTTTCCCAGTTTTTTATGTGTACACGTTTATGTTTCTTTTCGTATTTTTATTTTTTGCTCCATGTCACAGTACAGTAGCAAAGTGTTTTTTGTAAATTCAGTGCTTTTGGAAACTGCAATACCCTATAAGTATTGGCTTTCATACTCTAATAAAGCTTTTAGTTGAACCTTGACATATGCTCCTCGATTTTTCAACTCAAGACCACCAACAACAAAGCAAAGCTACAACAGCCAACTTTTACAAAGTCTTACAATGCATAGGTGAGTCTGTTTATGCTCTGTTGGAGTGGAATGAATTCATGACCAAATGTGCTACCAACTGGACTGCTGTTTGCAAGATTAGGAGAATGTTACTGTCAAAATGTTCCAATGTAGTTCCCTTGGAAATGGATCCATCACCGTAAAGCAATTTGATGGCATGCAACGACAAAACCAATGGAAACAACCAAAAGCACCTCAACTGATAGTCAACAGCTGGTAAGCAAAGCAAACCTCTTTTTCTCATCTGTACACAAGTTTCTCATTATCCTGTATTGAAATCTTCAGTCAAAAGACAATTTTTGCCTCAAGGAACAAAGCAAAAAGGAGTTCAACTGAAATTAGCCCTTGTCACTATAGTTCAAGTTTTATCAGCTAATTTTTTAATCACAAACAACCCATGAAGAACCTTCCTTTTATGAGCAACACGATTTATCAGCCATTTGAGTCCTTCAAATATACCATTGACCTAACACGTCAAACAGCTTCAATGAAAATATTGGCATAACTTCTTTAAATTTAACAGCAAACTAGGAAGCAAATTAACTAATTTCTCAGTACTGAAAGTTGTTCTACAAGCATGCCAATGGAAATACTGGAGCCTTCCGGAGAAACTTCATCAACCTAACGAGCAAACTGGACACGACGACTGAAAAGAACTTTTAAGTTGGATTGAGAATGACACTATCTCCCACACTTAATCAATACATAATAAGAAAAATGGCAATGGTTTAATTGTAATTTTCATTTCAGGATGAACAACGCTCACAGGCAATGGCTCGTGTAATGTACCCGAATATGTTCTGAAGTTGTTGGATCAATTCAACCTCAGTGGATCAGCCAAGGTATGTCCAGCCCAAACTTTGGTTAGATTTTGATATACCGGTACCCATAATTTTAGTTCTCGCACATCAGTGAGAATAAAATGTTAGTAGTGTGAGTAAAATATAATTCATGAATCAGTGGATAGATTTTATTAAAAACAGTAAGTAATCACAGAATGTATGTCTACAACTGATAAACCTTTGGAGTGAATTTAATTTAAGAGGGCCACTACACAGTAGAGTTTAGATTGGGCCCAAAAAATCTGGCCCGAGCCCAAAAACATTTGGCCTTTCCCAATCAGTGGCTACACCCTCGCCCTACTCCCTACACACCACTTGCTGTGAAGCCCCCTCACAGCTGAACTGAGTCCCCTTTAGTCCCCTACGCTAGGATCCTGTTTGTAGACTTCAACTCTGCATTCAACACCATTCTTCCTGCTCTGCTCCAGGACAAGCTCTCTTTGCTCCATGTACCAGACTTCACTCGCAGGTGGATCACAGATTTCCTGACAGACCACGGTCAGCGCGTGCAGCTGGGGAAAGTTGTCTCGGACACACAGACTATAAGCACAGGATCTCCACAGGGCTGTGTTCTCTCCCCTCTGCTCTTCTCTCTGTACACTAACTGTTGCACCTCCAGCCATGACTCCATAAAACTTAAGTTTGCGGACGACACCACCCTCATCAGGCTCATCTCTGATGGTGATGAGTCTGCCTACAGGTGGGAGGTGGACCGGCTGGTGACCTGGTGCAGCAGCATCAACCTGGAGCTCAACGCCCAGAAAACAGTGGAAATGATTGTGGATTACAGAAAGGCCACAGCCCCTCTGCCCCCCCCTCACCCTTAACGAGACCCCCATCACAACTGTAGCTTGCTACCAGTTCCTCAGCACCACCATCACCCAGGACCTCAAGTGGGAGCCGACCATCAGTTCCCTCATCAAGCAGGCCCAGTAGAGGATGTACTTCCTGCGACAGCTGAAGAAAGCTACGCTGCCGGCCAGGCTGATGGTTCTACACAGCCATCGTGGAGTCCAGCCTCAGCTCCTCCATCACGGTGTGGTATGCCGGGGCCACTGCCAGGGACAGACACAGACTGCAGCGCACTATGCGCTCTGCTGAGAAGGTGATCGACTGCAGCCTCCCATCTCTCCATGACCTGTACGTCTCCAGGACTGTGAGGCGAGCAGGTGGGATCACAGCTGACCCTTCTCACCCTGCAGCCTGTTCATACTAGGGTTGGGCATAATCGTATCGTTTGCAATTAATCGTCAAAAAAACATTAATCGATTATTTTTTTTGGCACTTGACGATTAATATGATTAATGTCGCCAGGCAGAGTCCGCTCGGTGCTCCTCTCTGCTTCCAATATGATGAACATTAAAAAAAAATCTGTAATTTATTTATCTATCAACACAATTAAAAAATTGATGTGTAGCCTGACATCTGTAATTTTGACACAGTTTGGAACAGAAATTTATGAAGAGGAAATCTTTCCCACTAAATTGGTCATGTGACTAGGACAAGGATGTCCAGGGACTCCAAGGGATTAATCGTCAAACTAATCGTTATCGGCTAAATACCGCAATTAATCATGATAAATCTTTTTGCCAATATTGCCCAACCCTAGTTCATACCACTCCACTCAGGCAGAAGGTTTCGGTCCATTCGGTCCAGAACATCCCGCCATAAGAACAGTTTCGTCAGACTCTTGAACGTTTAGAACACGTGACTCTAAAACTCTGCCTTGGCCACTTTATCGCTGGTTTCTTAAACAGCACAACTCTGACTATATTGTTTTTCTGGTCACTTCTATCACTGTATCTAACTGCACTACAAATATATTGTCTGCTCCAATTACTGTATTGAGCTGGTGTACATATGTTTTTTATATTATTATTTTTCCTTTATCATTTGTTTTTTCTTCATTTGTTATTTTTGATACCTATTGCACCTTCACACCGAAAATTCCCAGTCTGTGAATCCTGTTCATTGACAATGGCAATAAAACTGATTCTGGGTTTTCTATTCTTGCACAATTCTTTATATTATATTTTTATTATTAGTAGTTGTATCATGTCTAGTCGGTGTTAATTCTTGTTTTGTTTGTACTATCTAAAGTTTGTAAAGTAACTAGTGTGTGAAACTGTACTGATGCTGCTGTGACACCTGAATTTCCCCTCTGCGGGACAATAAAGGCTTTTTCTATTCTGGTGCTGCTCAAGTCTGCATTGGATGCTGACTTGGAATGGAGGGCTTAATAAGCCACTCGCCCTCGTACGTAGTTGGTTTCAGATGGGACTTAATATGGCCAACCCTCCGCGGGCACATACAAACTGAGTGAGTAGGGCAAGGGTGTAGCTACTGATTGGGGAAAGGCCCATTGTGTCTGAACCCAATTCAACCAGACTAATTAATTCTGATTAGAGCCCAAAGTAAACCAAACATATTTTATTACTGTATTTATGCAGGTTTCATGTGATCCCCATTTGTTAGCTTAAAAAGCCTAAAACATCTGTACCAAATCTTAAGCATTAAATGGTGGGGTCAGCCTCATTTGTGCAGTTTTTAGTAAAATTATCAAAGTATTGATTGAACGTACATCGTTATCCTAACATTTTGGCAGCACAACGGCTCAGTGGTTAGCACCGACGCCCCACAGCAAGAAGGTTCTGGGTTCGATCCCCGGTTCGGACCTGGGGGTCTTTCTGTGTGGAGTTTGCATGTTGTCTTCATGCTTGCGTGGGTTTTCTCTGGGTACTCTGGTTTCCCCACCCCCCAAAACATGTACAATAGGTTGCTTTCAGGCCCAGGCCGCCCTTGAAAAATAGATCTGAGATCTCAGTGGGACTTGCCTGGTAAAATAATGGTTAAAAAAAACTTGTTGAGTTAACATCACTCCTTATAAGTTGAGGTTGGTTTAAAACTTTGGTTTTAATATTTTTAAATAAATTTCTTTATGGAGTGCTGGGCCTATTTTTGTAAATATTTATGACTTGCTCAGGCATATGGTCTGTGATCTAAAATTGCATCATATGTAATAAGTGTTTTTTCTTGTTGCCTTCCAGGTGCAGTGACCAACTCCCCCTACAGACGTGAATCATTTTGACTGCAACAACTTGTTGAAAGTGGAATGAAGACAGGATTCACTTGAAACGGCAGCTACTTGTGTATTCAGTAGTCTTTCAAAATTGTTGTTTCGTTCTTTTAATGTCATGGAACAAGAATGCTGTTTTCACCTGCATACCCTAAAGGTATCGCGGGAGATTTGGTAATTTCATTGTCTTGTAAAAATAACCTCTTACATTTTTGGGAAGATTAGCATTTGAATCTGTTAGATGATCATAAGGTGGGGGTGGGTGGATTGTTTGCCTCAGGTGTAAAGAAATGGTTGAGTCGGAAGGCAGAGTTCTAGATCTGTTAATCTTAAATCAGAGGAGACCAAAGTGGGGCCCGCGGGCCAAATTTGGCCCACCAAGCCATTTGATTCGGCCCACCAACAGTTGCCAAAGTTAAAAGGTTGTAACCTGTTATTCTATGTAGAAACACAGTATTTCCATTGGTCAAATGACTATATAAAAGGGCTGTAGTGAAGGTAGTTTTCATTCATGCTGTTGACTTTAGCTTTGATTTATTAGGATTAAACATGAAACATGAAATGACAACCATAAATATTTAGATCAGATTTAACCCCACGTGTAGATTTGCAAACTTTATAAGGCCACAAAAACTCATATTTTATCAATTTATGATATGTCCCATGAGCCTTTGCTCTGGCAGACTTTATCCAAGCGCACAGACTAAAACAAAAGAGCGCCATTGCATAACATAATCGCTAAAAATAAAGGACTTTACTTAAAAAGTATTCGTATTTCATGTATTATATTACTGCATTTGGCCCACTGCCCTGGATAGATTTTCATTTTGGCCCTCTCRGGGAAAATGTTTGGGCACCCCTGTCTTAAATGTACCCTTCCTCACCTATTATCATAGGTAAGGCAGCACAACGGCTCAGTGGTTATCACTGACGCCTCACAGCCAGAAGGTCCTGGGTTCGATCCCCGGTTCGGRCCTGGGCCTTTTTGTGTGGAGTTTGCATGTTCTCCTCGTGCTTGTGTGGGTTTTCTCCAGGTATTCCGGTTTCCCCCACCCCTAAAAACGTACAATAGGTTGCCTTCCCTTGAAGAAGAAATTTGTGATCTGGATGGCTCGTGACTGAAAGAACAAAATCTCTGATACAAGAGGTGGGGGCTTGGAGTCGCTCTTTCGTATCAGAGTCAGTTGAGGTCATTCAGCCATCTAGTCAGGAGGTTTTTCCAGCATGTCTGGGAAGAGGCCCCAGGGCTCCACCAGGTGAAACTGGAGAGGCATGTCTGGGTTTCTCTTGGACCGGTTTCAAACACAACACAATTTCAGATGATAAAATGTAAAATAGTGGTTTTATTTATAGATTAAAATGGTGTTTGAAAATAAACAACTTTCAATGCAACTTAATACGAGTGATTTTTCACTGTCAGTATGCTCGGCTTGTCTTTTGTGCAGAATATATGTGCATGTCAACTATCTATTGCCTAACTGCTTTCTGAGCCTTGCTGATTTTCAACTTGTAATACAAGATGAGGCATCTTGCCCTCTTGCAGCATGTGCTGCTTTGCAGGGGGGAGTAAATAACCCTGTCTATTGTTGAGGTGCCTTTTTGCCAGTAGGGGTGATCATCAGTTCTGCATGTTGTAACTGCGCCGTCCCCCCTACTACCGCCTCTTTTTTTTTTTTTTTTTACTTGCAGAAGTGCGGATGTGATTCGCATATTGATACGGAACAGGCCGCCACTTTTATTATTTTTTTTAGCAATGCGGACTTAGGCAATGATCAATTTGTGGAGCTATGAATCCCGAGGAGCAAACGGTAACGTGGTTGATCTCGTCAGGAGTGCTCAGCTCGCCTAAGAAGAACATAGCGGACCCGGAGGAGTTTTTGAAAACCTCGCTGAAGGATGGGGTCGTCCTGTGCAAGCTCACAGAGCGGTTCATACCTGGTTTCACTCCGAAGGTGAGCTGGAATCGATGTCTTAGGTAAACAAGTAGCAAATGATCGAGCTGTCGGTGAAAAGGGAGGGGTTGGATGAAAGTGATATACCGACATGATCAACTTCCTGCTGCTTGATTTTCTATTTTCAGGCCGTTAAGTTTTACAATCGACACTTTTAACACATGCACTGTAAATGCAGCAGCTCAGTGCTTTCTGACGGTTTATATAAGAGTTTTCAGTGAGTGGTTTCCTGTGAATTGATAAGAAATGTTCCGCATTCTCGATCAGAGTGGGTCAGTGCGTGAACAAACAGCCCAAACTGTCGAGCTGTGTGACCCACTTCACGTGTCGAAGGGCTTGAGCAGAAGATTTCACGAGCCCTGCGTTTATTGAGCCCTTTTAATGCGCCATATGTGTTTCTTCAAGATTAGTGCTAACAAAGTTGACAATAACAGTTGCAAATTCAGGTCGTCACTTCCTCTTGAACGGGAGCTTTTCCCGGTGCGACCTCCCCCCTACGCTTCGATACACAGCAACCGGAAGTTGCTGCTTTGTTGTCACACGGTGTTACTTTTTCAACTAGTTTTACGTTTACAGCCGCACACTTTACTTAAAAAATGTTCTGTTTTGGCCAAACAGGAACACTTGTTCTTTCTTTAACGTTTGAACACTAGCGTGTGTTCGTCAATGTCACAACTTTGGCTTTTATTTTGAAGGTTAACTGAGCGGATGTTTCTGTATATGGCTTCTGTGTAGGGTTAATGCTTCAGACTGCATGAAGGAGACGCACGCTTTTAGTCAAGTTATATTTTAAATTGTGGGATTACCATTCTTGGATTGCTACTGTATAGTTACTTCAGAAAATTGGCCTAAAAATCACATCTTGATGGTGTTAATGTGTGGCAGAGCTTTGGACTAAGCTGGTGTGCAGTACTATGTTTATATCTGTTCATTTCGTCGTTTTTACAGTACTGYCAGGATCCCAGAACTGAAGCCGACTGCATTTCCAATATCAAGGAGTTTTTAAGAGGATGTTCGTCTTTGAAAGTAGAGGTAAGCTGACTTAATGTTCTTCTTTTTTATTTAGTGTCGAAGTGTTTGTGTTTTTCCTTTAGAAGTGATTTGATCACTCTTCCTGCTTGGCATGTTGTGTGTTGACATATGCTGTCCTCACATGGGACACATTCACACATGAACTCATTTATCCACATAAACCAAAAAAGGAAGGATACTGTTGATTTTCATGACACCATTATGTAAGATTCAGTTTTTACTTCCGTGTAAATTCCTTTACTGTTTTATTTTGATATGCAAATTAATTCTCATGTTTTTTTTTTCTGGCCTGGAATGCCTAAAAGAGATCCTTAAAGTAAAAAGGGACAAATTATTTGCAGATGTTGGGAGTTTCTCTTTGTGACTGCCACGGCCACAGTGGACATTAATGTATTTTCCAATGTTATAAATAATCTTCTGGTTTTGAAACGCATGACTTGTTTTTTTTTTTTTTTTTTTTTTTTTACAGCTAATTGAGTCAGCAAGCCTGGCTCACTTTAGTGGTTGTGTAGTTCTGCCCAGCTGGCCTGTTATGTCTGTGAGGTCTTCTCTGTTTTTATCCACTAACTCTGCTCCAGCCCATAATTAGACCTTCTGTGACCAGTCAGTAGTCATTGGCAGAGGTTTTCTAGGACTCTGTTAGATGTGTCAGCCATAGAGGATGTCTGTGTGGCTGCAGCAAACCCTGTCTTTCTCTCAGTGATTATGGAATTACTTTTTTTTTTTTTTTTTTTTTTTTTTTGCCATGGCATATAGTGTCTGTTTGTCCTGTGACTTCACAAAAGAAAGCAGTCATACTGCTTTCACTTCTGCACTGGGGTAAACAAAGAGGAAGCACCAATTACTGTTCTGAGCCTGTATTTTTTCACTCTGTTATGAACAGCATGAAAAGCTATATTTACTTTTTGTTTTAATAAACCGTTTTTGTCATAGAGTCACACACCTGAACAGTATCACTCAGCTACTCCAAACATAACATTGACAAAAGAATTTCTTTTGTTTTGATTTACTGAAGTAACTCCGTTTTTCGACATTTATTTTCTTTAAAGATGACTAATCAGAAATAATAATAACCCATAGAGTTTTGTCATATTTTTGCTCAATTGAAAGCAAGTTATCCGATTGTTATAGCATCAATCACAACTCAAAATGAAGCTCCACACGGCTCATCATCCACGTTGTACTACTCAAACTCTATATTTAAGATGTTTTATTTAAAATGTGAAACTTCATCCAGCAGAGGAAAGCAGATAGCTGTCTGAGACTGAATAAGCAAGCAGTGTGAGTGTGTGAGCATCTAGTTGTGCGGCCAAGTGGAAAGTGAATCGCAAATGAGCTCGACTCTRTTTTATCCCAAAATATGGGTCATGCTCAACGTGTCACTTTTTATCTTGGTCCTGTTGAGGGTCTATTTAAATCCCCTCCTGTCTGTTTTATTGTGTGTCTGTGTCATGTGTTACAAGAAATACTACATAAGTACTTTGTAAGAGCCAGAACTGTGTGAAAAAGACTATTTTCTGTTCTACACTCGGCCACCTCCAGCTTTTTTGAACATATTTTAAGGGTTTTGTTCTGACTCAGTTTTCTATGATGTGTTTCCATCCAGGGCTTTGAACCAGAGTGGTTATACACTGGAGAGAACTTTGGCAAGGTCCTGAATACGCTGCTAGCTGTCAACTTTGCCACACAAGGTAAACATTTTCTTTGTCCTGTGTTTTGAGACAATTTTCTAAAACATCCCCACCCAAAAATCAGTCACTCCCTAAAAACTTTGCCAAACCACTTTAACCTTTGATTATGGTACTGTATGTGTTGCTTGATAAGCTTACTGTGTGCAGAACATATTATAGAATCATAAATAGGGATGCACGATATATCRGTTTTGATATCAATATCGGCCAATATTGGTCATTTTTTAGAATATTGGTATTGGTCCGATATGTAAAACTGGGCCGATATTAACGTCCGATATTGATTTTCCACTTTTTATCTTTGTGTTTCTGTTTTGGGAGGGGAGATGGTTGGTTGAGTGGCATCTGTTTGATCATAATAGTGATATTGACGCTGYGCAGCCAGGAGTAACTGAAGTAGGGAGCCATGTCAGAGGTCTGGTTGTTTATTTACCATATCAAAAAAGACCCTAGTGTGTTTGTGTGTATATGTATATAGGGCTGCCATGATTAGTCGACTAGTAGACGACTAAATGACTATTAAAATAGTTGACGACAAATTTAATAGTCGATTAGTCATTTTTTGTTTTGTTTTTTACTTTGTTTTTCTCTCCAAACTGCTTTGACACCTTCCACTGCCACATCTGCCTTTCTGTCCTTCATTTTAAGTAAATAAAAGAGAAACCTGTGCAATGCAATATCTGCAAGGTAGAACTTGCCTTCTACGGCAATTATTTTTAGTTAACAAATAACTAAAATCTAAGGATAGTTATATAATAGCAGCTGCATTCTGGCACGATAAGCTGTATGTTTTATATTCAATTAACATATGATCCGATTAGTCGACTAATCAAAAAAATAATAATCGTGATTAGTTGACTATAAAAATAATCGTTTGTAGCAGCCCTATATGTATAATATAATTTGTGTGTTTGCGTAATATCGGTAAATATCGGTTATTGGCCATAACAGCAATAATTATATCGGATGTCGATATCGGCTGAAATTTTCCTATCGGTACATCCCTAATCATAAAGTCAGACTGCTRCAGACATTCATTTTCAGCGTACCCCAAAAGGTCTGCACGGTGTTTGTGGCAGCCAATCCACGAAATAAAAATATCACAGAACTCCAATTCAAGCCAGATGAAGCTTGGTGTTGTCCTCGAAAGTGAGACGGTTCCTTAAACATCTATTCACAGGGACCGGTGCTCGCTGCATCAGATAGCCTATTGACAGCTGAAACCCATTTATCTCTGCAGGACTTTCTAACAGGAGGCGTTTACATATTTGTTTAGTTAAATCCAGGTGGGGACTTTGCTTTTGCCCACACAGTGTACATTGTTCTCTTCTACAGTCATGCATTTATTATTTTGTGTGGTTTTATGTCCTTAACCAAATGCTCAACAAAGTTATGGCTTTATTTAAAGCAAATGTCTAAAAATTATAACATGCATATATTATGAGCCTGGATAAAGATCTTTGTTATTCCAAATCAAACTTTGTTTTCTCACTTCTTCTAGCTCAAAATGTGATTGGGTGTATTTAAGATGGGCAGCTGGCAGAACAGTGTGTGTTTGTGTCACGCTGGTTGCCATATTTCTTCATGAGCACCCCTTGGTCTAATGTACTCAAAACAATGTCCCGTGGTATCTGTGTGTGTATTTTATTTTATACGCTTCAGGGTTTTACATTACAAGAATGTGCAGGAGTCCTCAAAACACTAATTGCTTCACTGAGGAGTCTGTGTTTAAGGGTTTTTGAGAGATTATACCAACYACAGCTTTGTATCCATTTCATAGCTGTATGTTCAAGATAAAGGAGAGTGTTAGCACTGCAGCTMATTGTTCATTTGTTTGCATAAAAATTGCAGCATGTCTGTTTCATAGGAGAGTTGTAAAAATCAGGCGCAGAAACATCTAAAGCCTTTTAATTGATATTTAAGTTTTTTTTTACAGATTGCCTGCACCCAGCAGCTGTTCTGTCAATCTGTGAGCATAAAGTTGGATCAATCCCAAAGTAATCCATGCAAACCACAATGTTTTTAAGTGATCCTGTTCATGCCGCAGTGTGTTTATGTCCTCATCGTCTGCACATTTGTTTACAATAAATGGGTTTTTGCGTTAAAAAAAAATGTTTAACGACCAGAACAGAAGGGCTTGTTTTGCTTCGCTGTGTGACGGGATACACGTGGGATTCGTGAGGCCCACCTGCTTCTGCCTTCAGCTTTTATTTTCTATCACTTGGGTGTAAGTGTGATGCACACTGACATGTCTGCACGTGGCAAACAGCCGTGACTCTCCCGCCGTTTTCCAGCTGAACACGTATCAGAGTTACATAGATTCCAGATGATGTGCCGGTTAAACAAGATCACACAAAATGTTACACTTTTTACTTTCTGGACATGAAAGAGCCCATCAGTTTTAGATCTTTACACTGGAACTCTTTATTTGATCTGAATGTAAGGGTCTTGGAAGCTAATAGAGAATCACAAGCTTTTTTATTGTTTGTGATTTGAACGAGGATTAGACATCGGACTTGGCTCGTACCCATTTGGCATGTAAYATTAGACCCCCTTCTGAGAGCTCTTCTGCTTGTTAGCATGTCAGAGGTTTGTGTTCCTGCCATGTGTCACGTTTTAAATGAGTCCTGGCAGCAAAAAGAATACGTCTCCAGAACTGCAGGACTACCAGCAGCTACTGTCCTTAAATCAAAGTTCCTCTGCTGCAGTGGATGAATGATGGCACTGCACTGAGGGGTTCAGGGTGTGGAAAATAAATGCCCGAATGTATCCACCTGGTTAGATCAAAGGTAGAATTTGAAAAGTTGTGTTTAAATATGTCAAGTAAAGGTCATAATTGTGGGAGCTGTGTGGATACCGTGCGAGTAAAGTGATGCATTTTTTTATATCTGAAAGCTGTGTGTTTTGTGTTGCGGCAGCTCGTTATTTATTTTTGGCTTTTTTATGTCAGTTTTTGTTCAGTCTGATCATCTGTGAGGAAAGCGAGAGTTTGTGGTCTGTGTTTTTTCTGCCCTGGGGTTCTGCAAAGCAGTAGACCATATTAATATGAATTATCATCAAGCTGTCATTCTCTAACGTAAATTCACCTGCACCATCTTTCGTGTGTGTGTGTGTGTGTGTGTGCGTGCGTGCGTGTTTTCAAGGTGAGGAACTGTGCTCCAACGTTATTGTAACCGTATAATGAGGCTTAATGATTTCTCTCTGTGTGTTCATAGATTGTGCCACTGAGCGATGCCCTCAGTCCGGTTCATCCTCTCCTAATCAGGCGACGTCCTCACACACACTGTCCTCCATCAAGTCCAAAGGGTCTCTGCGCAGACAGTCCAAATCAACGGTACCATCCCCTCTTATGTTTCTAACTGGTCTTTCATGTGTTTGAAAATGTTTGATTTCCACATTTTATGTAAAATATTTCCCTACTTTGAAGTTGTTGTTTTTTATCAAAAGTCCTATCAAGAAAAAAAATTTGTCTTTTAGAAGAAAACTGAAATGGAAAAATGCATCCGTCAAAATTGGAATAAAGTTTTTGAATTGTATAACATGTATGCACATGCTGCGCACACGAGATCTCAGTCAATAAAAAAGGCTAGGGGTTAACAATTACAAAATCTAAATATTTTCCAATATTTAAAATTGACATACACTTTGCTTTAGGGAGTTCTGAGAAAACCATGGACAAATGCTGCATTCCAGTAGTACTCAGAGGTCGGAAGTTTGTACTTTTGAGTTAGAAATACCAACTGTAATGGTCCCTAATGACATAATTTTGAGTCAGGAAGTCAGTGCAACACGACGATACCCAAACGTGACGTCATCCTTTCAACATGGCTGCTTCTATCCACACAGTGAAACTCTACTATTACAGTTTTTATCAGTTCTGAGCTGTTTGCTTTACATTAAGTCAGTCGTACTTGTAGTATTTTATAGAGATTATTAGGCAATATGTTTTAACACAGTTTTTACAGTTTGAAAATGCTGCTTAAAGCGCGATTGTTGTACGTGATGCTGCAATAATCTGTCAACRAGTAGAAATTCTTTCAGACTTTCCAACAAGCTAGGGCTGGGCGATATGTCCTAAAATCAATATCACAATATATTGACCAGTTCACCTCGATAACGGTAAATACACAATAACTCTTACCACTCCGCACCACACAAAAATACACGGTATAGTTTAGTAATAACACTATACRCTGTGTCCTTGTTCTTAGAGTACACAGTTTAGATTTTGAACAGCTTTTCTKTAGTTTATATTAGTCATTTTAGTGTTTTTAATATRTTTATTAAAAAACATTTTTGGAAAGACTTGAGTCAGATATGGTGAAACAAATATTTAACCATCTCCATAACTTTTCATTGCAAACAAACACATTGTGTATTATAATTTTATATTTAAAAATACCAAAAATGTCTTTTGTACTGCACAAAATAACTTAAATGCATTTTTTTTGTTAGACTGACTGATTTCTCTATTAAAATAACTATTTCTTTCAAAAAGATATTTTAAGAGCTCATGTAATCATTTAATACTATTTATTTTTCATATTTGATAATTTATTGAATCACAGAGCAGTTCAGTCACAGTATGGTTCTAAATATAAGCAAGCTATAATGTGAAGAATGAAATCTGTAGATATGTATGATATACATAGCAGGAACATAGCGTTTTTATTTGTGTGTGTGTGTGTGGGGGGGGGGGGGTGATGCCATGCGGAGACTCATCTTTTCTATAATATGGGACAAACAAAAGTTCATCTGTTAGAGTTAATATTGTTTCATTGGGAGAACTGAAACAGTGGCTCTCCCAGAACAACTCAGCCTCTGCGCACCTCGGCTCACTCCTGTAACAGCGCTGTCGACGAGAGGAGTTTGGTCACACGATCAAAGTTGGACACATCTGTTAGATAATGACACTCTGAACACATAAACCTATAGTGTTAGATTTTAGATACCAATGTCTTGAGTAGCTCGGGAGTGCGGAGGACAGAGTTTGCTCAGTCAGGACGGGAGCTGCAGGCTGACTGCTGTTTATCCTGCAGRTTGCTTCAGCAACACAAAGACCCGCCCTGCTCTGCTCTGATTGGATAAAGCTGTTGGGGTTCGTTTGATTTGTTGAAAGCAGTGTCTGTTTAAACCTGTATCAGACTGGGCGGCTTTAATGAGACTGCAACAGAAAACAAGCAGGTTTCTCTTTTCCTCATTTTTAAAATACCGAAAATACCGACATGGGCAAAATGACGTCGGTTGTTGTCATAATTGTCGGTATTGGTTATTTTTCGGTTTATTGATTTGATTTGATTTGATTTACAGTATTTATATAACTGGAAAAGATTATTAAAAATCAAGCCTGACTCAGCRTAATTGCTGTTTTACAGCAGGTTCCTGTTCTGCAGCACATAAAACACTCAGAAATACAGCATCACAATCACATCATTATAYACCATAAACACAAAGACAAACAAGCATACCAAATTTCAAAAAGGCAGCATTTGCAAAATAGGACGTCTAAATATGAGCACAAAAAGTGTCCAGCAGATGGCAGACAAGATTTTTCTTAAAGGGCTGTAGTTTTGAAATGGACTTTATGTTTTGAGGAATGTCATTCCATGCTTAAGTATAAACATAGAAGATAGAGCTCTGGCCGTAACAGCTTTTAAAAGTTGGTAACATCAGTATTGCCCAGGCCTCAGCTGGACGTTGGATCACTTTAAACTCAAAACTGACATCCGCCTGACTTCACAATGTCAAGTTCCGCTGCAACCAGAACACATCATTAGCCTGAAATTTTGAACAAACACAACAGATGTCCCTYCTACTTGCTCTCTGCTGCACTACAGCCCTCCCTCAGCTCCTCCCACATAATTGAGCTTGCTGGGAATACGCAGGCTTCGCAGCAGGTCTAAGGTAATGGCAAATAAACAGCCACGGCACATTCAGAACTCTAAGAAATTGTCAGTTTTCCTCTAACGTTAGGTCATTTCTCTGCCATCGGCACAGCTGTAGCATACAGTCTGGCTGTGAGGGGGAAGGGTGTGAGCACATGCATGTCACAGATTACTTGTCTCATATTCTACCGTCAGGACATACTGACAGTTTTAACAAAGAAGTGTAAAATTACATATTTCTAAAAGTTACATACTGCAGCTTTAAGTGACCCTAATAATTATTGGACTGAAAAGGGAAACACTTAAACGAGTGATCATTAAACTTTCACCAGTGAACTTCAACAACGTTGTGGCAACGTACCACAAAGCTGCTGTTTCACTCGGAACCAGTTTAGTTCAGTGATGTTGTTTGTGCACTACGTGTTGCAGACAGAGCTGAGAGTTTTGTAAGTGGCACAACTGCTTTGCTGAACAGTCTTTGTAAAAACACCACAGCTGGTAACATGATCTCGCAATTAACAGTTTCTCAGCAGAAACGTGATCGATAATTTGACTTGGAAGAGTAGAACAAGCTCAGGTGGATTAATGAGAGCTGCATTCCACTCCTGTACCTGTGCAAACTGGTTGTTCTGTTGATCATGTGCGGAACTTCCTCTAAGTAGCATCCAGCCTTCATTAAATCAACCTGGCCTACTTTTTCAAGTCAAAAGTGTTTGCTGTGTCCTGCTGCCAGTACCGTGTTTTAAACTTTGCCTTCCAAAAGGAAGGTCGTTTGTTTGATCCAATGCACCATAGAGTGTTGAAGTGTTGCTGCACATTTTTTGTAACACAGAGATTTTGTTCCCCTTTATACATTATGAAGAAGGAATGTACTGTTATAGATTTGTATCCTTCATCCTTGTTTTAAAAATACCTCTTCTCTGTTTTAGCTCTGCAATACTGAGAAAGAACTGCCTTAAAAAACTTTGCTAAGCGTTATCATAATTTCTGGTTCATAGTTGGTATCTGTAGAAATCTTTTGAATGCTCTTATTGTGCAATCGGACATTTGGTAACTTGCTATAATTGTCTAATTACTTCTACCATTCAAAAAGATGAGGGGTAGCTGCTTATTTTCTTCAAGACCGTAATCTCATAAACCATTTTATCTGATAAGAGATCATTTGGATAAACAATTTTGTTCACATTAAATATGACTTTATTGCACTACATTAAAAAAATACTGCATACAAATGCAAATATTTAAAGAAAAATACCCATACAGGTATTTGTCACAGGCCTTTACTCTCTTGTTATAAACCAGTTTTRAAACATTTGGATTTGACTTGCTGACTGGTGCTGATGTCCCGTCTTCCCAGGAAATGTCTGAGAACTGTGGAGGCGGGCAGCTGATGGTGAAGGCCCGCTTCAACTTCAAGCAGAACAACGAGGATGAGCTGTCGTTCAGTAAAGGCGACTTGATCCTGGTGACACGGCAGGAGGAAGGAGGGTGGTGGGAGGGCACGCTGAACGGCAGGACGGGCTGGTTCCCCAGTAACTATGTCCGGGAGGTCAAATCCTGCGGTGAGTTGGACTCAGCAGTTATTCTCACAGAATGTGTTGGAAGAAATGGAAGTCGCCTGTTTGTAGCTAGTTCTTTTATTATTGATAAAATGATGAGCTTTTCTATTAAATAACCCATAGCAAATTAGCATCTAAATTGCTGATATTTTAATTTAAAAAATCAATATTTTTAGAGTGTAAATGAATCGTGTGAACATTTCWAATTCTTGTTTTTATTTCCTCTCAGAAAAACCTTTGTCACCAAAAGCTCAGCTGACCAAAAACTACTACAGTGTGGTAAGGTCAAAGTTAGGCAATACATATAAAATACAGTAATGTTATGACAATTATTAACAGATCAATCTTTAGTTAAAAGATAAATTCTAGCATATTTCATGTATTTCCTATAACATTAGATATTTTCTGTATTGTGCTGTTATTGCAGGTGGTACAGGACATCTTGGAGCATGAGCGGGAGTTTGTTAAAGAGTTACAAACAGTGCTGACTTGTTACCTGCAGCCCCTGCAAGCCAGCGACAAGTAAGAATAAAAGTCAAGTAGTGGGATGAATCCATTCTTGGTCTTAAAACAACCAGGGTTAATGACAAAAACTGTGTACGGTTCATTTATTAGTTTTTTTTTTCTTTTCAAAATAAAATCACAAAAACAAATMCGTGTTTCTCCATTTTCAAAACCTAAATGTAAAATCGAACTAATTAAAAAATGCAGTGTTTGATTTTTGCTTCAGCGATTTAAATCCAAAATACAAATCTGTGTTTGCTGATTTAACATACAGCAATATCGGAAATGACGGAACTCACCAGAGAAGAAAAGCTTATAGCAGCTGGAGGACTGCTAAAAAACGGAAACTGATCCTAAATATCTTGGCGCTGGCTGCTCTCAAACTTGTTTCTGCACATTTTGGAATATTGAAACAATTTCTTTCATGGTAAAATAACTAAAAATACGGTGTACAAACAAAATGTAAAGGTTGTCTTTGCTTTAACCATTAAAATAAAGAGAAAAAAATAACATTTTTCAATTTTTCAACTGTCGTGTTTCTAATTTAGTTTTAAAACAAACAAAATACATGAAAACCACCCAATTTTTTTTTTCATTTTATTTTGAAGTGGAAAAATTGAACAAACCAAACAGATTCAAAAGCTCTGTTTCGTTTCAATAATCTGAATGTCTTTTTTTTCAGTGTCAGTGTAATATATATATGTTACAAATATCCCCTATGAAATGCAACTTTTGTATCTTTTTTGCATTAAAGCTTCATAAAACACTTTGGTTCTAAAAGTTCATAAAATGAGTTTAAATGAGTCTTAGATAAACCACAGTACATAACGTGGACCTGACTGAAATACTGCAGTGGGACCTCCAGGGAGCTGTGCATAAACTAATGTTTAGACACCTCTATAAGTAGAAGCAGCTTTTTAAAGAAGAGCTTCTGCTGTGAAGTGAGACTGATAAGATCAGAGACAAATGGTTTCTTCAACTTGTTGCTGCTGAAAGTGGTTTTATAAGCTGTAGTTTTTCACACCAGTTTGCATTTTGGTTTAGTTTTTATGAGAGAAAAAATGTCAGTACAATTTATTGCATTAAAGAGTGCTTACTTTTCCTCATGACCGTGTACTTAAAATGAGTAACCATTTTTTTATATTAACCAGTATTAGCGTTTCTCTTTTTCTATACTTGGCACAAAAAGGGGGGGAAAATGTGTTTGGTAGATTATTCCTTCGTTGTAACAAAGCTTCTTGGCAATAGATCTTATACCGGGCTGCACATGTGGGGACCGGACGCTCAAAACAAGTGTCAATAACAGCAAAATAAGCTGTTAGACAGAAAAGATTTGGCACATTTTTCATGTGTGTAACGCACTACTCAGCTACTGCTCATCCCACAAATGCGTGTTCCTTACAAATGTGGCACCATTTAAAAGGGAACATAACAGGCTAAGATTTATGTATTAAGAATAATTATTACAACAAAGAAATCATCTACCAAACAAATTTCCTTACCTTTTATCCTAAGTTTATACTAAACCCCTTTTTTAAATGTATATATCCAGGTTAAGTAGTGCTGACAGCACCACCCTGTGTGGAAACCTGGAAGACATCCTCACCTTCCAGCAGGGACTTTGTTTAGCTTTGGAGGAATGTACCAAGTAAGTCCTGCTGGTGACAGCTTTATTTAATAAATCCTTTTTAAATAAGGATTTGCAGCTTCTGCTGCAGTGGTGTCTGTATTCATATAGTGGCTTATTTCCTTTTATGTACATTTACTGAAGTCGTGCCCTGCCAAGCTTACCGTTCTTGTTTATATTTTTGCAATCACTTCCTTCCTCTTAGACATCCTGTCTTGTACATTTCTTTTTTTCTTTCCTTCTTTTTTTTTTTACAAGTATCAGCTTCGAATATATGTGTTATATCAGTTATTATTGTCGCAGACATTTACACTGGAAATTTGAGAATTACGATGCATTTGAGAGTTTTCAAACCCCTGACCTTGACGATGGTTGTTTGATTTCCGCAGAGTCCCTGAGAGTCAGCAGCGAGTGGCAGCCTGCTACTTAAACCTGATGAACCAGATAAAGAATTTGTACCTGACTTACTGTTCCAGCCACCCCTCAGCTGTTTCCATCCTCACTGATCACAGGTCAGCTTCTGCAACCAAAACCATTAATTATGCATCAGTATTTATACATTCCCAGTGAAAGATCTTAATGTATTGGTATAAAAATTGGATTCATAATGTAGGTTTATTACCATTCTGTCACAATAAAACTGCATGAAATAATTAGAATCAGTTTAATACTTTTAGATAAGAGGTTGCTTTTTGGTTTCAGTTGTAGTTTTGCATTGATCCACAAGGTGTCAGGCTTTCCATCTGTAAAAACACCACGTTAAACTCAGTGGAAGTTGGTTGTTGTTTTTTTGGTAGCTCCGTTCTGCAGGGGTTGCCACAGCAAGCAAATGTTCTTCCTGACTAACCCGGGTTTGAACCTGCAGCCCCAGGATTATGAGACAGCAGCACTGACCACTGAGCTGCAGCAGCCCCCAAACTTAGTCTAAAATGTTTTTATTTTTCTTTTAGTGCCGAGTGTTTTCTTTATCTTTCTTAATTGAATAATTATTTWAAAAAACCCACCATGGTTGAGTTCAGATAAAACAGTATTGTGTAGTGTTGAGGTGTCCTGCATTGCACACAGACTCACTCTCAGTTCGCACACACCGAGTTACACACAGGAAGTTGACTGTTGACAGGATATATAGAGCTGTGGTTTTTGTTTTGAAAGCCAGGCATTTTTTTCACAGTAAGCACTTTGCATTTCTGCTGCAACTGCCGTCACACTCTGTTACTACTCGTTATGAGTGAGTTTTGCTCCAGGATTCTGTATGAATGAAACTGGATTGTAAACTCATTATGGAGTGTTTCTTTCAAATCAAGCATCCACGTTTGAAAGAAGTGGGGTTTTTCCTTTTTGCTCATATTGCTCAAACCAAACTTGTCTAATTGGTACAAGCTGTTGGACTTTTAACTGGGACAACTGCTTGTGATGTTTTCTCACGTTCACAACACTACAGTGCAAGTGTTGTTTTACAGCTGTGACCAAACGAAGCAGATGTGCACAGCACAGGTTTAGAGGAGAGCAGTTGTTGCCATTTTAAAAGTGCAAGCTTTTATAATTTTTCTCATATAACTTCACTTTTCCTTTTGTAGTTTTAGTTTTGCTGTGTGCCACATAGGGTTGGGCATAATCGTATCGTGTGTGATTAATCGTCAGAAAAACATTAATCGATAAATTTTTGGCACTTGACAATTAATACGATTAATGCCAACAGGTAGTCWGCTCGCTGCTTCTCTCYGCTTCAAATATGACGAACATTAAAAAACRTTCTGTAACTTATTTATCTATCAACACAATTTAAAATTAGATGTATAGCCTGAAGTCTGTAATTTTTACACAATTTGGAACAGATTTTTATGAAAAGCAAATCTTTCCCACTAAATTGGTCATGTGACTATGAAATAAGGGTGTCCAGGGACTCCAAGGGATTAATCGTCAAATTAATCGTTATCGGCTAAATACCACAAGTAATCGTGATTTATTTTTTTGCCAATATTGCCCAACCTTAGTGCCACAGTGAACATTAGGATTAGACTGAAGGGATGCAGTTTGAGRACTCAGCCTCTTTTAGCCAGGAGCCTTGTTGTAAAATGTCTGTTTTTCTGCTTTTTCATATTTCAATTCCTGAAACCGCATAACTGTTTTTCATACATCGCAGTCAGAAGCTCATGCAATCAGAAATCATTGAATATTTTTACAATATTTTGAAATAGCTGCTCTGTAGTTTACCTCATATACTAAAATAAAAGTCCTGAGTTGTATCTGAACTCATGGGTATGTTTTTATGGATTTAACAGTGACGAGCTAGAAAAGTTCATGGAGAGCCAGGGAACGAGTGCCTCAGGAGTCCTGTCCCTGACCATCAGCCTCAGTAAACCCTTCATGAGGCTCGACAAATACCCGACTCTGCTCCAGGAGCTGGAGAGGCACGTGGAGGTACGAGACATCATGAACTTATTTAAATCTGTTCACAGAGAGGAGGTGTGTATATTTAGACGAGGAAGAAAAAGCAGCTAAAAGTTGTGTTGTAAATGTTTGCACCCTGAACTGTTAGGTAACCACTTAAGTCTGACGTTGCTCATTATAGTATTAAAAAGTTAAGGTTTAGTTTATAATTTGCTGTTTCTTTAAGAATATTCTGGACTATCTAGAAAAAGGGGTGGGGCTATGCCATCCCAACATTCTCTCCAACATTTAACACACATCTCCTTTTATGTTTATATGCTCATAACTCCAATAAAATTCAGGAACTAAAGATCCTGGTCCTTAAGGGGTCTTTATCCTGCATGTTTTTATTGTTTCCCTGCTCCAACACACCATATTCAGTGACTGAATTACCTCTTCAAATTCTGCAGAAGAGGTCGAGCAAGATGCAAAGTCTAGGAGACTGTGCACCTTGCTCGACTTAATTAAGTTGTTAATAAATCATGCACAATCCAGTGCAGGAGCAGCTGTAGTCCAGCTCAGAAAGAGTTAATGATGGCATAGTAAATTACACACAATATATTGTACATTTATTTACTGTGTTTTGTCATTATTCTGTTCCATCTTAAGCTTAACTGTTTGATTTCATTATTGCATCCCAGGAAGCTCACCCAGACTATACTGACATCGTAAAGGCAACAGCAGCATTCAAGAGCTTAGTGGTAAGTCTGGACATTAGCAGTGTCAGTCGAACAGTCTCTAATTCTGTTCACCATTCTTAAACACTAAATCGTAATCTCATGTTTTTGTTTTTTTGTTCGTTTCTGTTGCTGTATTTACTTTTGCAAAGCTTAACTTTGTGCTTAATGTGAGAACATGGTTTCAACAAATTCAGAATTACAAATGTTTAGTCTTCTAATCTGGATTGGTAAACCAACTAAAAATAAATGAAAATTTGTCTGAAGCGTTTAGTTTTTGTGACAAATTGGTTCGAGCTTTTATACCCAAAATCGCCACACGCAGACAGATGCCAGTCCACTGTTTTTTAACGCGTTTCAGTCTTAATGAAAGTGATCGTTTTTCTCTGTAGAACGAGTGCATAGTTCCTAATGTAGGTGTGAATCGAAAATGCCATCCCCAAAGAACTGGATTAGTAACGAGCAACTGGGTTGTACCTGAGCCGTCAACGCAGTTTCCCCTGTGTAGCTGTGACTCACTCGTCTCTTCCGTGGAGCTTCGCGGTAAATGGGCAGATAAAAAAAAAAAMCCTCACGCTGCTCTGCCTTTGTGTGATTTGCAAGTTTAATTTCTCGGTGCGCTTTTTTGAACGTGTGGTCAGGTGGGCAGGCTCTGAAGAACAGCTCTGCCCTGTGCTCTTTGTTCAGAACGAATGGGAAAAATCGAAGATGTTGCATTGTCATTTTTCCTGTTTGATGAGGGAGAGCCCCTGCAGAGCACCTGAAAATGTGCCATTTGATTTGATGCAGGTTATCTGACATACATCTGTCTGGTGTACATCTGATAAACGAGATCAAAATGGCACAGTGATGGTACAACAGTTGCATTGTTCAAAGCAATAACAAAAAAAATCCCTCGTTGCTCAAAGATTTCAAACAATATTAAGCTAAGTTTTGAGAAAATATTAAATACAAATAAATGAAGCAGATTTTAAAAACAAGTTCTTCATCTTCTTATTGTGAGTTTTCCCTGAACGCTAACTCTCTTCACAAACTACATTTGTGTGCTTAGACCCAGTGTCAGGACTTACGGAAGCGCAAGAATCTGGAGCTGCAGATCTTATCAGAACCAGTGCGAGGCTGGGAGGGAGACAGCATGAAGAGCCTGGGTCATGTGATCTACATGTCCCAGGTCCATGTAAGAAGTGGTTGCAGCGAGGTGAGCACAATAGGCTGTTTTTGTATTTGTTTTCTTTTTCATCTATAAAACTGTAACAGATGAAACATTTTGCAACGCTGCAGACATTTTTAAGAGCTTTGTAATGCATACATGTTCTTTCCTTATGTTCACTCACTTCCAGCCATCTAAATTTGATTTCCAGCTTTCTCCCACAGGGATCACTACAGAATCCTAAGTAGGTTATATGCTGAGAATAATATAAACTTTAGCTTTCTTGTGGGCTTTCATGTATGGGGTCGTCTTTAGGGCTGTGGTTGGAGGAAAACCCAGCATATGCACTAAGTTAAAGATACCCATTTTCAGTTATGGCCAACCGCTTTCCAACCACTATCCCAGTCATGCAAATAATTCTCAGCACAGCTTATTTCGTGACTATTATTGAAAATGTTAGCACTTTGACTGTTTAGTGTCAAACTACAGGGGTTGGACAATGAAACTGAAACACCTGTCATTTTAGTGTGGAAAGTTTCATGGCTAAATTGGACCAGCCTGGTGGCCACTCTTCATTAATTGCACATTGCACCAGTAAGAGCAGAGTGTGAAGGTTCAATTAGCAGGGTAAAAGCACAGTTTTGCTCAAAATATTACAATGCACACAACATTATGGGTGACATAACAGAGTTCAAAAGAGGACAAATTGTTGGTGCACGTCTTGCTGGTGCACCTGTGACCAAGACAGCAAATCTTTGTGGTGTATCAAGAGCCACGGTATCCAGGGTAATGTCAGCATACCACCAAGAAGGACCAACCACATCCAACAGGATTAACTGTGGACGCAAGAGGAAGCTGCCTGAAAGGGATGTTCGGGTGCTAAACCGGATTGGATCCAAAAACCATAAAACCACTGCTGCCCAAATCACGGCAGAATTAAATGTGCACCTCAACTCTCCTGTTTCCACCAGAACTGTCCATCGGGAGCTCCACAAGGTCAATATACACGGCCGGGCTGCTCTTGCCAAACCTTTGGTCACTGGTGCCAATGCAAAACGTTGGTTTCAATGGTGCAAGGAGCGCAAATCTTGGGCTGTGGACATGTGACATGTGTATTGTTCTCTGATGAGTCCACCTTTACTGTTTTCCCCACATCCAGGAGAGTTACGGTGAGGAGAAGCCCCAAAGAAGTGCACCACCCAGACTGTTGCATGCCCAAACTRAAGCATGGGGTGGATCAGTGATGGTTTGGGCTGCCATATCATGGCATTCCCTTGGCCCAGTACATGTGTTAGATGGGCACGTCACTACCAAGGACTACCGAACCATTCTGGAGGACCTTGTGCATCCAATGGTTCAAACATTGTATCCTAAAGGCAGTGCAGTGTATCAGGATGACAATGCACCAATACACACAGCAAGAATGGTGAAAGATTGGTTTGATGAACATGAAAGTGAAACTGAACATCTCCCATGGCCTGCACAGTCACCAGATCTAAATATTATTGAGCCACTTTGGGGTGTTTTGGAGGAGCGAGTCAGGAAACGTTTTCCTCCACCAGCATCACGTAGTGACCTGGCCACTATCCTGTAAGAAGAATGGCTTAAAATCCCTCTGACCACTGTGCAAGACTTGTATATGTCTTTCTAAGATGAATTGACGCTGAATTGGCTGCAAACCATACTAATAAATTATTGTGGTTTAAAACCTGGTGTTTCAGTTTCATTGTCCAACCCCTGTACAGGTCCTTCTCAAAAAATTAGCATATTGTGATAAAGTTCATTATTTTCTGTAATGTACTGATAAACATTAAACTTTCATATATTTTAGATTCATTGCACACCAACTGAAGTAGTTCAAGCCTTTTATTGTTTTAATTTGGATGATTTTGGCAAAAAAGTAAAGAAAAATCAAAAATCCCTATCTCAAAAAATTACCATATTTCATCCGACCAATAAAAGAAAAGTGTTTTTAATACAAAAAAAAATCAACCTTCAAATAATTATGTTCAGTTCTGCACTCAATACTTGGTGGGGAATCATTTTGCAGAAATGTCTGCTTCAATGCGGCGTGGCATGGAGGCAATCAGCCTGTGGCTCTGCTGAGGTGTTATGGAGGCCCAGGATGCTTCGATAGCGGCCTTAAGCTCATCCAGAGCTTAAGACACAAGACCCAACTTAAG